AAATATTTTATGATAAAACGGCAATTTGGAATCCGTTTATTAAAATATCCGTTATTAAAATATAGAATATTCAAAGATAAGGTTTTTATGTCCATGAGTACATACAAGCTCATTAAAGATAACAGAGTAAATGACGTATATAATGATTATTTACACGTCCTAAAATTTTAAATTAAGATTTAATTAAGATTTAATTTTGAAATTGAGATTAAATTAAGATTTTAATAATATATTATACATTTTTTGATAATTTTACTAATTATAAATTTTAATAATTATATTATAAATTAATCTCTATAAAATTTCAGATTCGAACTAACGGAACAATATTTTCTAATTGAAATCATTTTTGTTTATTGCATAAAAGTTAGAGGATGCAAATATAGGTCGTTTCATTACACTGTTCGCCCACGCGAACTAATACTAACTTGCTGACATGATCATGATGTCGAGAAAACGTAAGATAAAGATGAAAACATATTGTGAAGAGGAAGTACACAGCACATTCATATAATTCCCGGAATATCTACGTAAGTATCCTCTTTTTCAATGGCATAGAATTAACGTTACAATGGTTCCTGACGCGTCCGCGTTTTAACACTAATGATGTCATTAAATTAAAAACGTGTCGAGTCGTATTGCACGATTTTTTTTAGAAAAATATGAATGATGATGAGTGACCCCATCTTCATCGTATTCTTCAGCAGAGGTTTTTTAGAATTTCACAATAATGTATAAAATGGAATTAAAAAAATTGGTAACTAAAAATATAATGTTATTAATTTTATGAGAATTTTACTTATTAAGTTTAAAGAAAATGTAAATAAAATGATTTTTAATAGATAAAATATTGTACAGCTATTTTCTCTCTTTTTCTGTTAATTTTGCATGACAATTTCGAGATTCACTAAGAAAGAAATCCAATTTAAGTCTAATGAATAAAAAGTTAAGTAATAAATAATAAGTTAATAATTTTATTCTAAGAATTAATTTATATACAAAATAAAACATCAATATGTATGTTTAAAAATATATAAATTATATCAGAAAAGTGAATTGTGTACAAAAGTACTTTAATAGTTTTATCCAATTTGATTTACGATATATATAATAATTTAAAAATAAAATATAATTAATTTCACTTTTTGTTCTTTTTTAAAAAAGTTTATAAAAATAAATCAAAAATTATTTTATAATAAGACAATAGTACAAATTAATATTATTAATTAAATTATTATTTATTTATTCAATTTCGAAAATTTCAGATTTGTCTTTAAAGAGTTATTTATCTTTAGATGTATTGATAGTGTGCAGATACAAAAAATATAAAATACATACAATATGCATAAGTATAAGAGATACGTTTATAATGCACATAAACAAAAAAATCCGTTGCACAAGACCGTATCATGCAAGTGAGACAAAGTGCAAAATTGTTTGTCCTTAGAAAATTTTGCAATTGTGCTTAAAGTCGATATATTCATAACGTATATTAAACAATTCGGAAGAAGAGAAGAAAAGATAAAAATTTTTGCTAATACTTTTTTTTCTCGATTTATTTCTCAATAAGCTATTCTTCGTGCTGCAGTATAGATATCCTTTGATGTAATGTATTACGGTGGAAGTCGAGAAAAAGACAAAATACTTACGCGATCTTCTCGCTTGGCGATCTCCAAGGAACATCATCATCCATTTCATCTTCCGACTCGTCAGCTTCGTGGTCTAAGGATTCTTGACCAGGGAGATGTAACGTTGAGCTTGTCAACATATCTGGTACTGGTAGAATACTTGGTCTTCTGCTTCCTAAAATATTTCAAACAAAAAATCTCTCCTCTTTCTCTCTCTCTCTCTCTCTCTCTCTCTCTCTCTCTCTCTCTCTAATATATAAAATATCTCGTTAACTTATATCGATACTTCTTTTACGTTTTTAAAATTTATATATATTTGTGTTTTATTATGATTTATTATATATAAGAAATTTTATCTTCCAACCTAAATGCATTAATATAATGAATGTGTTGATTTAATATTAACTTAATACTACTTGATTTAATATTGATTTAATATTAATTTAATATTGATTTAATATTGACTTAATTAATATTTTGTTCGTGTAAATTTAAATGATCTTATTGCTATATAAATATTTAATATTAAAAATTATAGTTTTCTTCATGACAATTTGATATATAGTATTTAAATTTTAATTTAATAGATAATAATTTATTAAAATTCAAAAACATAGATGAATAGTCAGACATATATACTTTTTATTCAATTATAAAAAATTTTGTTTAAAAAAGACAATTTTTATTTGTTTAAAATTAATTTTAATATTAAAAATTAAGAATTCAAAGTAGTAGAATTCAAAAGTAGATAACTCGTATTCAATTATGTTTTGAAAAAAATCAAAGCCACAAAATTTTAAATTTTTAACATGAGAACAGTATTAAAATATGACATATTCATGAAGACATTTAATTGACAAAAGAGTATGTTTTACCTTATCCTAAAAATATTATATTTCAGAAAAAGTTTGTTATATTTTAAACAAACTTGCATAGTATATGATAATTTTGATTTTATCTTGATTGTATCAATTTGAAATAAAGAAGGAGGATGTCAGCCAACTATTTAATAAATAGATATTTTAATTTTATTATAGTATCATACAAATATTGATATATAATACAAATACTGAAAAATGCATAATTATTTGTTACAATAACTCTAAAAATAGAAATACTATTCAATAGAAGTATTATTAATTAAAAATGCTTCAAACTAATATATTTCACGCAAAGGTAATCTGTCAAATGCACAAGAATATATTTTAATTCTAAATTTTGTTCAACATTATTTTAAATAGTTTTTAATCATCAGTTTTTAAATTTAAATTATAGAAAGATTATAAGAAACTAAAACAAATTTTTACAAAAATGACAAGCTATAAATAATACTAGATCAGATAATAGAATTTTATATTCGACACAATTTTTAAATATTTTCCTTTAGTATACAATAAAAAAAGTTAATTATTTTTTTCTCTAATTGAAAAGTATTCTTTAGTGCATTAAACGACTAATAAATAAAACTGACCTCTCCTTTGCATTAGAATTTCTGGACTAAGTAGATTTGGATTCGGATCGAGAGATCGTGGCACATCAAGATGATTTCCCGTGATGGGCGTTTGTGGCGTTGATCCTCCTTCTTTTAAGCATTGCCTCGAATCCCCGAATCCGCCGGGATCGAGATAAGTCGCTGTAACATATAAGACCGCGATAAATGATTCTAATATCGAAATTGACTCTCATAATATTCAATGGTCCTATGAAACTGCGGATATCAAAAGAAATGTCTTCATAATAATAGCTAATAAACATTAATAGAAGAAACATAATGTCATTAAGAAAGGAAATAATTCGATAATTCTGTATTGAGAAAAGAAATGTTATTTTATACATGTGTGAAGTTGGCCCCCAATTTAAAAAAAAATTAACTTTCCATACTTCATTCCATTATTTATCATTTGTATATGTATGTACATTTCGAATTTTTGTTTGCACACTTCTATTATAAAAATTATTAAAAGTTGTTTCATATTTCTTTGTTTTACATATAAATAATCCTACATTTTCATATTCTCTACTAAGCATTCAATGTCTTACATCAAATCACATAGTAGTTCCTATATATATCTGTATACTTTATTTCTATGTTATAACAATTTTAAAAGAAACAAGAATATATCAGTCTAGCAAAATAAACATTTCTTTAAGATTAATAATTTTTTGGCATCAATAGCAAGTTAATCAATTGCATTAAAAAAAATATTTCTTTAGTACTTTTAAATTCAATAATAGTGAATCATTTTATAGTGAAACATTTCTTTTAATAAAAAATAATAAATAAAAACTCTAAAAAATTATTGCAATTCATTTATAATTATGACTAAAGCTTGATATCTCTTTTTAATTTAATAAAATAATTGTTTTAATATCATTTTTAATACCAAAAATATTATAATTAGAAATTATTACTTTAATTAATACTCGTATGAAACACAATTTCTGGGATATTTTATTATATTAAATTTTATATAAATTACTATTTTTACAATCATTTATATTTTTGTTTATTTCAACTTCTTTTTCTATTTTTATCTTCATATTTTTGAATACGTTGAATAACTGATGGATATTAAATTATTATCTTAATGTGTATCGGTTATATCGCAACCAAAATCTATATGGAAGATTACCTTGAATGCCGAACTTAGAGCTCGTAACGAAGCGAGCAATATTTTACACTATAGCTTTGCAGTTTCCTATTCAGAAACTGCACTTACTGAAGATCGTTGATGACGACTGCTGAATGGTGTATGAATAGTATATGCACGCAGATTACACATAAAGCGATGTACAAGCGTAAACCACATCAATAAAGACGTAAATGAAGAGGAAGGAATCGTTCGACATTTAGGTCGGTTAATTTTTTATCAACGCCTGTATATAAATATTTAATCGCACGTGTGATTCGATATGCATTGTTATCCCGAATCTTCCACGTTTCGCTTTATAATAGAACACAATTTCGCTTTATAATAGAACACAATAAAATTTAAATAGTTATAATAAAACAATTTTGTGGACAAAGTTATAATTCTTGTGAATTTGAAATTTTTATATTTTAAATCTACTAATTATTTAAGTTATTTAAATAATTTTATAATTCTAATATTGATTTATATATCTACATACATTATATAGAACTAATATTATATTATTTATCAATTATTATTATTAACAGAATTTATATTTTACAGACAATGTTGTGAATTTCTGTAAAGGATAACTAGAAATATTAATATTTTAAAGAATTTGTAACATTTTAAAAGAATTTGATAATATATGTACATCAAATAGTTGCAATTTTTTAATTAATAGAAAAAATTATTTAAACTTGCATTTCAAAACCACTATCATTCCTTCTTTTTCTAAAAATAGTGCTTACTATTTTATTAATTATTGCTGCGACTTTACATTCATAGCTGTAAAGCATTGTGTTTTATGTATGTGTCATGTATATGTGTGATGATATACAAACACTTAATAAACATTATAGATAACTTTCTAAGCAATATTTAACAATGCTTATTAGTGCAACAAATAAAAGTACTAAAAAAAAGATATAAATCTAAGAATTTGTTAAATATTTTCATGTTCATATCATTTGTGAACAGATGCTTATTTTGAATCATTGACTCTTTGTAACGAGTAATTTTATTTTTCTGAAATACTTTTGCTTCAAAACTTCAGTTTTAACATTATGATAACTTTAATAGTTTCTAAAAAAGTCATTTGGAAATAAAAATATTGATTTTCAAAAAATATTGATTTTAAACTTTTTCAATCAAATAAACAATAAATAATTCAAATTTATAATTATTGGATATCAATCAGGCTTGAACAGATTGTGTAAAATTTTTTAGTTCGTTTGTAAAAATTATATTAGAATCTTCTTAAAATCAAATTTTCGAAATTTTTTGAATCTATAGCTCAATCTAATAATTAATCATTAATAATTAATCTATACTATTCTATATTAATTATTTTTCCGAACTCTGAACATCTTCAAAGGCATCTGATGAATTAATAATATAATATTTTTTAAAGCGAAATAAGAGAGATAAAAATAAAAATTGAAAAAGAAGAAAAAGAAGCATAGCTAGGCGCATGCGACACTCACGGTGGACATTGGATGCGAGTAAGTTGTAGTGTTGGGTTGGTATGGGCGTGCTAGGGAGGACCTGCAAAATAACCTGCGGCAACGGGGCCCTGTGATCTTGGGGACCGTTCGATCGGTCCTGCACACGGGGCCCCGTGCAGGTCTCCTGTCTGCAGAGTGTTTCGCTCAGCGTAATGTTACAACTGTTGGAAAATCGTTGGTGCACGTCGGCACCGTTGTTGATTGCTGTACCGTTCCCATCGCCGCAACCAGTGCAGCTGGTCGATATCGTCGTGGTAGTCGTCGTCATTGTTGCCGATGTTGCCCCTGTAGAATTCATGGTCGCCGTTACAGCGTTGGTCGTCGGAGTACTCGTTGCCGATCCGTTATTCGCAGATGTCGCGTCCGTCTTTGTCTCGACGATCACCTGTGTTGCCTCGCCAATACCGCCCTGATTATTCGCGACCACGAACGCGGAATTTTCCTCCTTGGTGATGCTCATGTAATAGCAAGTATCGGTCTTCTTCATTATATGTCGTGGCCCTGCGTATAGAAGTACACAATTGACGCACGTATTGTGGCAGCCTTTTATTCTATATATATTTATAACATTTTGTTTTTTACTATTCCTTTTTACTTCTAGTTATTACTATATTCATAATCTTTCCTGACAGAGAGCGAAATACAAGATCTACATTTCTGTAATGTTTCTTATTATTCAAGATCTTTATTTTTTTATTTTATTCAAGAAATAAAAAGCTGGAAAAAGTACCCAAGAAAAGGAAAGACACCGCGGTAATGTGTGTCGCGAGATTACCAGGATTCAGCAGGATAGTGTCCTCGTAAAATTCCGGAAGTTCCGCCGGTCTGACTGCGACAAGCGCAACCCCATATTTCCGGTGGCTGTGAAAGGATGCGTAGGTGAAAGATTTTCCCTCGTACTCTCCGAAAAAGCGGGAGTCGCCGAGAATTATATGATAAATCTCGTTGCCGGAACATTTACCATATAGCCTGTGCCATTCTTCCTGCGACTGTTGACCTTCTCTGTGAAGAGAACATTTCAATTTATAATTATTTTGTCTTTATGCAATCTTTATAATATGTAATATTTACAACATAAAATTACACAGAGTAAACAGTAGTATAAAATAACACATTTCATCGTATATTATTTTGTAAAATGTATTACAGTATTTAATAAATGTATTGCAGTATTTAATAAAATCTTACAATCTCACATATATATTTATAATTTGGTAATATATACATTTCATCGAATTGAAATTAATTCTTTCATTATATATGTTTAAAGATTAAATAAATATTGAAGAATAGTCTTGTGAGTGTATACACTACAAAACTGCATGTGGCTAAATTTGTAGTCTAATTATGCTTTATGGTTTGAACAGTACTTACTGTCCCCTGGATGTGTGTAACAACAAGGTCACCAACGTTGATGCGCCGGGACACGTGCAATTATTTGCCAAAAGGGCGTATTTAAATTCATCCTCGCACACCACGTGCTCCGCGAACTTCACATGAAGCTTGTTTTCCGGACGGAAGATTTGAACATATTGAGGAACGATGGGCGCAAAATCTTTCACCGCCCATGATCTACAATTGTCAAAATCAATTATCCATGAGATTTAAATTCAATTTTTTTTCAAATTATTCAAGATAATTCTGTGTTAAAGAAAAGAATTTTGAATGAAAAGAATGCTGAATGGAAAAGAATTTTTTAAAACATATATTATATATTTTCAATATATATTCATATATATATTTTCATATATAAACTACATATTTTCATTATATAACATTATTTGATTATTTCTTGAATAAAAATTTGATTATCTATAAAATATTCATTTTTCCTATTTTATTTTATCTACAGATCTTTTATCAATTCGAGACTTAATTAGAATTACTGAACAGAAAGCCGATGTCTTAGGTGTTCGCTTACAAGTCAACTGCGCTTTACAACTGAATTTGAAAGTAAAGAAAGTTAAGTGATTAAGGTCAACAGGAAAGCTTAACTTCTATTTAAATTCTAAAGTAAAACTTAAATGAAAAATGTCTGAGATTGATCGTCGGGAATAATATTAGAATTGCAATGTTTAATACCTATAACGTGAAACCTTTATTAAGGAAAAAAAAAAAGTAAGAAGATGATAAAATTTACAACGACAATTATAAACTTCATTAACGAATTATCTTGAACAATTTTCATTTATCGCTGACCTGAGTATAGTGTGTTCGTCAGCAGCGGTTTTGTCAGCATAATTTCTCGCTGCTAACACGAAACAAGCTTCTGCCTCGTTCATCCTAGCTCTCGCAAGATCGCCATCCTTCAGGCATGAGCCTTGTATGTAGATTACCCTCTGCGCCCAGATTGGCACTTGCAGAATCATCCGCATTGTAGTGTCGAGTTCCATCGGTGATAAAAGCACCACATAATAGTCCTACTCGTGTTCAGATCATTTTCAATCATTAACATTAAAAATGATAAAATAAATTAAAGCAAAAGCGTGTAGAAAGATAAATAATGTACTTAATTAACGTTCTCCATATTTTTTAAGTCATAATAATATCATAGATCTTTATAAATGCACCAGAAGTATATTGAATATGTATATTTTTATTCGTAATTATTTATATAAAAAATTAAAATTAAAATTATTTTAAATTAAAATTAAAATTATTTTATAATAATTATATTTTTATTTAATATAATTATAATTATATTTTTATCTCATTCAGCAATGTATTTTTAATTTTTACAGATCGCGTTGTAGTCGTGATTAAAATTAAATTCGACGACATGTTTTAAATTAACTTAATTACCTCAGCTACTTTAACTATGATAAACTGAAAGCTTGATAAAGAATTTTTACGAAATCACAAGTCGTCTAGTGCATAATGAAATATTCACGGCACGTAATTCGTTCGCCTAACCTGCAGCAAGGGATGGGCGTAAAACTCGTTTAGAAAGTCCATAATGGTGTCGGCTTGCAATGTCGTACTGCAAACTACCACATGCTTCTCGCTTTGTGCTCTATGTGATGAATACGAGCCACCAAGCTTCTGTCGTTCCATCCATGTGAATGCTAACTGTTCGAACTGTAATCAATATGAGATTATTATACAATCAACTAATATTTACCTATTTGTATAAATCATAATAAATCAAAATAGGAAATCGCGTTATTCTTTACAAATTTATTAGATTAATAGATCAAATGAATAAACAAAAATGTAATTTTGTTTTAATAAAAATAAAATTATATGTTTATATGCATATTCCACAGAAGCTGTTTATATTGAAAATATTGAAAAAATACAATAAAAATACAATAAAATAAAATTTTTATTTTTATCATTTCTTTTTCAAATCTCTTTTTCGTGCAATTCTTCCATTGCCTCTGAAATGTAAAATTGTA